CCTTGTGGGCCCAAATCTGGTAGTAGAATGTGTCTTTCATCAATAATTCAACCCCCTGAAGCTAGCTCAGTGAACTGTTGCAAACCTGTTAGCGGAGGGAATAATTGTGGATGGCGTCCACTGTCTCTTTAAATCTTCAAACTATTATGTAGTTACGCAGACCAGCTGGAATTACCTCTCACTCATTACAAAGTTAGCGTCATTGGCGCTGTTTCCAGTCCTCATAACAATGGACAGCCATTTTGACCGTCTGTTGCTATGACCGTCAATATGGTTAAAAATAAATGGTCGTTCAGCTGTTGTTTTCACGTTAAACACTCACTCTACCTACCGTATTCCTCTAATTTTAGTATGTTACCAACATATTTAGGAACTTGGTAGACATTATTAAACAGTAGCCAACCTGATCAACTTTAAAGTGGTGCCTCCCTCAAACTGCAAGCACTATTACCTTCACTGACGAGGCCGTCAGCCTGGAGTCCTGGTCCAACCTGTCTTCAGACCAAGTCCATTCCATCCAGCGGTCGACCCCAAGGACGCAGTCATCAATTTTAACATGCTGTTCATTCAAAACAGGAATTTTCTCAAATATATATTAGTATTGTTATTTATTAGCATAATGTGCATATTTAGGCATTGGTCAGGTTAGGTATTTAGGTTCTGATGGCGATTATTTGTATTTTATAGTACGTATGTGCAACCCGTCCTTGACTCAAGTCCATTCCATCCAGCGGTCGACCCCAAGGACGCAGTCATCAATTTTAACATGCTGTTCATTCAAAACAGGAATTTTCTCAAATATAAAATAATATTATAATATATTAGCATATTGTGCATATATATAGGCAAAGGTTAGGTTAGGTGTTTAGGTTCTGTTGGCGATTATTTGAATTTGTAGCACATGAGTGAAGCATTTACAGCGTTGTGGTTCGAACAAAATTCGTCAGTGAAGCACTTGTTCCGGAAATGTTCAAACGTCATCAGTTGTGAGTCGTGTGTAAGCCTTTTTTCATTCATAAACTTGGGGTTTGGCGAGTGCATGGAATCACTTTTGGGTCTTTGTTTGGATGACAGGCAGGTATGTGAAGCATTTACTGCGGTGTTGTTCGAACAAAAGTCGGCAGTTCGAGAAGTGTTCGAACGCCATCAGCTGTGAGTCACGTATCTACCGTTTTTCATTCTAGACCATGAGTTTGGCGGGTGCATGGAGTGGACTTTAGCCTTTGTTCATGAGGACGAGCTGCCTTGTCAGAGGCCGTGTCATGACAGCAGTGACAGGAGAACTACAGGCAAAACAGTTTAAAAAGGAGAGGGAATACATAATTTATATTTTATTAACGCATTTAGGTACATCTGCATTTGTGCAACTATCCTAGATTATATGAAGGGGAGTACAGGGGGGTCAAAAAACTAGCTTTGTGATGCTAAAATCCCCATCACGCAGGATGGTTAGTCATACTTAAGCATATGATAATTAGTCTGCACTGGCAGACTCTGGGTGCAATATGAGGATATCATCATGAACACAAGAGTGAATAAGGCAGCAGTGACACTAAATGTCTCCATCTTGCAGGATGGTTAGTCATACAGGGCCATATATTCAGTAGCTTGCACAGGCTAATTTTGGGTGCATTATGAGGATATCTTCAAGAACACGAGAGTAAATAAAGTAATTGAATAGCTCCAGGTACCTCATGCTAACGGGTCTGAATGATCTGATAACTGGGCATTCGGTGATGTCGTATGCGAGATCATGCCCCAGTTCCTGCTCACAGAGCTTGCACCTGGAGTGCTCAGGATTGGGAGATCCATCACCTGTAGCCACCTGACACAGGTTACGGCAACCAAACTTGATCCTGGCAACCACTGTGTTGCACAGTCTGGTGGACGCTTTGTGCTGCCCATAAACATAGGTTTCAGATCTGAACCAATAATAGCTTTTTATACTGATGCTTTCAGGTCGTTGGGAGTCAGTAATTTCTCTCCTATCAGACCTGAGTGTTTGAGACAATATAGTTTAGACAACAAAGACGGTGGTACCTAGATCTAATTCAACTTCATCTTTGTTACACGCTAATTTGGCTGCAATGTCTGTGTCATCACGATGGGTTATATATATGTAATTACCTAAGTGTAGTAACAGGATGAGAGCTACGCTCGTGGTGTCCCGTCTTCCCAGCACTCTTTGTCATATAACGCTTTGAAACTACTGACTGTCTTGGCCTCCACCACCTTCTCACCTATGATGGTATCCATACAAAGGAGATTCGAAACCCTTTACTCTGTGCAGCGATAAGGTCATGAAACAATGCGATGGAATCAGAGAGTGTGCGCGAGTGTAAATTATTCAAATATACAGCGTGTTGTGTGTGTTTAATCTGAGCATGAAGGCTTCGTGAACCATGTAGGATGTTTACCTCTGGCCGCCCACCCGTACAATGGCCTCAAATACATTGGTAAAGGTTTTCCACAGCAGTGACTTTGCTCTTTGCCCAGCCTTCCATCATATTATTACCGCGCAGCAGCCTTGACGGGGCGACAATAATTTATTTTACCGTTTGTCCGTAGATGACGTTTACTGTGGCGCCGAGGAAGGCTATCTTGAGGTTATCTTGAGATGATTTCGTGTCCCCGCGGCCCGGTCCTCGACCAGGCCTCCACCCCCAGGAAGCAGCCCGTGACAGCTGACTAACACCCAGGTACCTATTTTACTGCTAGGTAACAGCGTAACGTACACTTTTCTTCAGGCAACACTGACATGTGAGGCTGAGGAACGTACAGTGTTCCACCAACAACACTGTATAAGGCGGGACTTACCTTAACTACTCTGCTTCTATAGCGTCTTCGTTTCATATTTTGGGAAGTTTCCATTTTAGTCGTTAAATTATTAACGCTATGATCCCATGGTTTAGATTGGTATTATATATATATTATTATGTCTTCTATTGGTGATGACTGAAGAAATTTTAATGATAATATTATGCTAATGATTATTATAATAATAATAATAATAATAATAATAATAATAATAATAATAATAATAATAATAAAAATGAGAAAATCAGTCGGAGCCATGCAGAGGATTCGAACCTGCACACTCTTAGTACTCCCGCGCCCACGTTAAATTTAGGATATCATGGTCTAGTGGTTTAGGGCGTGTGTTTGGTCATACCCAGTGTGCTGGTTCAAGTCCTTCTCATAGCTCCTTATTTTCTCACTATTAATAATAATAATAATATTAATACTAATAACCATATAATTATAAACAAAATATGTAATAAAAGGTGGAATAATTGTTTTAGAAATTTAAAGAGATCAATATTATAGAAAAAGTTGTTCCTTGTATATATCAATAATCTTTCCATCTCCATCTTCTAAATGTACCTGTATTCAAATCGTAATATATAACAATGTTCTCGTTGTAACAGTCTTCTGTGTCTTTCTATTAACTTCTTTGTACTCTGCACAGCAGGAGTGTACACGAGCAGCTGGTGTGAATACCACAGTATACACACATACAGTGTACAAGAGTAAAGAAATCCACAAGGGCCGTGACGAGGACTCGAGCCTGCGTCAGGTCTGCGTCAGTGTCTGCGTCCCAGACACTGCCTTAATCGACTGAGCTACGAAAGGGTAAAAGAGTTGAAACCGAAGTTTTACTGAACTTACTCGAGTAGGACTGAACTTATTTGTTCATTTGATGCATCACGTTAGTGTCATCTCTGTGTGTAGTGTACGAGAGTAATTTAGTTTACACTGAACATTATGTATGTTCACAAGTACCTCGTAGTATGAATGTTCACAAGTAATGCACAAGAGTTACTTAGTTTACACTGTACAGTATATATGTTCACAAGTGTCTAGTAGTGTACATTATGCAGTATGAACAAACAGGAGTATCTCGTGTTGAAGCTCCTCCACATGTTATGAATGTACACAAATCTCACATGGTCTTCCCCGGAGAGTTCAACTGTAACTATGTTAACTAAGAAAGTGCCTTATCATTTAACATGTTAATCTTTGGTGGTGGATGCAGGACACTTCAGATATAATCATTGTATATTACAGTCCATATCCGATACTTAATACAGCAACACCTCAATAAATCCTCATTATTTACAAATAGCTTTTAAAGAGTTGCTGACGTATGCATTGTAGTTATAGTCAGCCTAGCAGGTAACGAATTATAACTGACTATGATCTGGCATCAGGAGGCAACAGATGGTATGGAGGAGGGAGGGAACGCAGCAGGTGGCGGTGCATATATAAGCTCACAACAGCCCATCCGATCATCATTACCATACGCGGGCCACTCAGGTTAAGGTAACTACACAGTTGCCTCATACAGCTCAGACCGGACGTAACCCCACCCTCTCTTTTTAAGGTTGTTAGCTGAAGGTTGAACAGTTATGGTAAGTACTGACGGCATCACCGCAATGATGTGTCTTTTCAAATTTACCAAAACTGCATCACACTCTCCATCACTACAGCCACAGACGTTCCTAACTTAACTGTATAAATAGATTACTCGCAGCAGCTTCACTCTACCCACCATTGTTTCTAGTATCTCCTATAATAATAATATTTTATTAACAAATCAAGATTGGAACATCATCCCACAGTCCACCTCAACTCTCTCTTCCAAAAGCGTCAATATGACTTTTCATATCAGTCTTATATTGCAACTAACAGCATTGCATTTACAAGCATGTTGCCGGTCCTGAGATATCATAAACAGGCGGGGAGCAGCACGGAGGCTCACGGGACTGCCCTTTGAGCCTTCGTGTTAGTGACGACAGGATACTGAGGAAGGCGTCTGTTTTTTCAGAAGTTTGTGCTGGTCTCCGTGAGCGTGGCCCTGCTGGTGGCTTCCTGCTTAGCGGGACCCAGTGTTAGTTCCTTCTCTACCTCTTCCACTGGTGGAAGCCACGGGGCATCTGGAGGAGGAGGAGGCTATGGCTCTTCTGGAGGAGGAGGAGGCTATGGCTCTTCTGGAGGAGGAGGAGGAGGCTATGGCTCTTCCGGCGGTAGCGGAGGAGGCTACGGTGTGCCTGCCACAGCTAACATCAACTTCAACCTCGGAGCTCCAAAAGGCGGTGGCTCCGTCGGTGGCAGCTATGGAAAGTAGAGATGCAGCAGTTATGTCCGGATTGGTGAAGGCTGTTAAATGTTTGTCTTTCCTGAGTCTGCATGCGTGACTGTGTACACATTATTGCACAACCTCAATATAGACAGGTAAAAGTATATTCACACACACACACACACACCGCTCAACCCTGCAGGCACCAAATTTAATATTCCTCTATCAGCAATAGT